CCCCAAAACCCCAAAACCCCAAAACCCCAAAACCCCAAAACCCCACAAGACAAGATAGATATAAGTAGTAGCAGAGAATGTTATTAAATCATCAAAATATTATTATACTTATTCCAAATGGGGAACGTAAATTGCAGTGAAATATGCGAGTCAAACTAATTTCATAATGTCAAGCATAAAAAAGAGTTTGATTAGGGCCAAGTTGCAGGAATTGTTTAAAAGAGAAAATAATCTTAATAGATCTATAAATCAATTCAAGCCTAAAATGACAGGAAAAATGATTGCAATCAAATAAATGAAGTCTAGAAAACAAGTTCATTCATTTCATCAAAAGACAAGCAGAGAATAGACAACTCTCCTCAATACTACTAAGCTTAGTCAATTTAGAACACTATTAAAACTAGGTAATTAACCTCCCTAAAATTTGATAGTTAAGATACAGACAATAAGAAGGATGAAATGGCTATTCTGAGTTCAACTTAGTCTTTGATTCTGACATAGGAATATGAATAATCACAACTTGGATCCTAATAAAAATCAAATTAAACAGAAATTCCTAAAAATGATGACATCAGCATCTCTAAGAAGATGTCAGATATTCCATAAAAAAGCAAAGTGTCTGAGGAGGAAAAAGAGAAATTAAAAAAATAGCAACTTAGTCTAAATGCTAGATTTTCTAAGGAAGACATAAATAATGTCTATAAATTTGGTAAGGTAATTGGCAAAGGAAAGTTTGGCTGCGTAAGATTAGCTTATCATTATCAAAATCCAACCAAAAAGCTAGCTGTAAAAAGTGTCTTCAGAGAAGCCATTTAAGATCACATTCACTTGATTGAGCAGGAACACGATATCATGAAAGATGTGGATCATCCAAATATTATCAAGATCCATGAAACTTATATGGATAAATAGTACTTTCATTTTGTAATGGAACATTGCGAGGGAGGTGATTTATTTGAGAAGATATAAAAGAGGGAAAAGTTTTCTGAAAGAGAAACTGCCTACATAATAGATAACATGCTCTAGGCACTGAATCATTGTCATTTTAAGAATATATGCCATCGTGATTTGAAGCCTGAGAATATAGTATTTAAGCGAAGATCTCAATATCCGACATCATTAGATATCTCTAGAGGAGAAGCTGAACTCAAGATTATTGATTTTGGTTTGGCAAAATATCTTCTTAAAGGTGACTAACTAAAATCAAAAGTTGGTACTCCGTACTATGTGGCTCCTGAGGTTCTAGATGCAAATTATGATCATAGATGTGACAATTGGTCAGTTGGAGTTATAACATATACACTTCTCTGTGGGTACCCGCCTTTTTTCGCAGAAAATCATCAGGAGATATTCAGAAAAATCAAATCTTGCGAGTACTAATTCAATCCAGTTGATTGGGCTATTTCCAGTCCTGAGTGCAAGGATTTCATAAATAGAATGATAGTTAAAGATCGAAGTGTAAGAATGACAGCTCTTTAAGCATTAAGACATCCCTGGATAGTAAATTATAGATAAATAAACATGAAAATTATGCGATAGAAGCCAAACTTGCAACAAGAGAATCAAGTTTTAGAGAGATTGAAAAATTTCAAGACCTGTAGAATTATCAAAAAAGAAGCTTTAAAGATTTTGATAAGAGTTATAGATGAGAAACAGTTTGAACATGTAAAGGAGGTATTCAATAAATTAGACAAGAATAATTTAGGTGTAATAGATATTGATACCATGTTGAAAGCTTTGAACCAAAAGGGTCATAAACTTGATAGAGGATAGATCTAGAAAATAATGGAAAAGATATCAAGTGACTCTAATATATCAACAACTGATTCAGAAAATCCGATGGAACTTAAGCGACATAATTCAACCAAAGAAGTTTAATCGTATCTGAGTTCGCCAGAACTAGCTAAGAGTAAAAGCTTTATCGTACAAGAGGAGGAATAAACTTAAATTACTTACACAGATTTCCTTATCGCAACCTTAGATCTGAAAAGTTTAGATAAGAATAATTAATGGACAGTTTTCAAGCACTTGGATACTGAAAATAGAGGCTATATAACATACTAGAGTCTTGTAAGGGCCTTTAAAAGATCAAGTAAACCAGATTGTGAAAATTAAGCCAAAGCTTTAATGGCTGAGCTTAATATGACTAAGGATGAAAAACTAACCTTTGAATAGTTCCGTAATGCGCTAATGACTTAAAACAGCTTTTGCTAAGAACTTAATCAATCAGTTATATCTGGTAAAGATTAAAAAGATAAGTCATCTGATCCCAGCTTCACTATAGTCTCAATGTAAAGTTAACTGAATAATTCATCAGCTTTTCAAATACATAACCATGAGATTTTAAGGAGAAAATCCATAGCATTTTAGGAGATTCAATCGCAGTTGAAATTCAAAATTGAGGATGTATTAAGTGAGAATGAGACCAATTTATCTAATAACCCTGATTAAGCATGATTATATTTGGGAAACAGATATAATTCAAAAGTAAAATTTTTAAGTACAGCTATAGCAACAACTAATAATATTGTTATTTCTAAATCTTAATTTATTAACATTTTAAAAGCATAAAATATCTTGTGGGGTTTTGGGGTTTTGGGGTTTTGGGG